CCCCCCCCCCCAAGCCATTTTTGGTCAAGTAATCAGGAAAACATCCCATTCTATATAATTATAGATAATTATGTTGTAAAACTTGAATACTTTGGTTGGACTTTTGGGAGAGGCAGGCACTCTATTGTGAAATAAACCTTAAGAGATAATGCCAAACGCAAGCCTCTAATATTGCTAGCTATGCTGTCATGGCACTACTGAAGTTTACCTACAGCTTGTAATTGAGAGAAAATTCCTGTACACCTCACTGTTGGGGAATCGCTTTGGAATTTGTTTGAAGAGTGTTATTACAAATGTTAAGGACAACTAGTTCCTAATCATGATGTCCCCAAATCAGTTCTTGGACAGGCACACATAACATGAGATTCCAGTTCCGATAGAAACGCTTCACAAATCCAGCTCTACTGATTAAAACTGACAGGATCGAATACTACAATGGAAGAAAAAATTAAGATGAGGCCTATATAACTTTGTTTTTTTCATAACCGAGCAGATAATGGGAGTAAGATATAGCAAGTGGCTATAACGCACTAGCAAGTAATATTAACGTGGACCTGCTTTTCTCCAATTTCTTACTGAATATTTCGTTCCAGGAAGAAAGGTAAACTTCCATTTTAACACGGGATCGTTACGCCACTTGATACAAGCCGGCAGCAGAACTACGGTAACCCGAAACACAGCGCTGTCCTTGGACGCGAATTCAAGTAATTTCGGGCAAAACCCCTATAAAGGCAACAACGTTGACACCTTTCCACCTGAGTCTGCTTTCGGTGGCCCGCGCCCATCCAATCGAGCACGCCGGGGGGTGCGAGAGCAGGTTCGAGGGAGGGGAAGGGGCTTCCCGGGGAGGAGGCACCGGCGGCGCCGGCCGGAGCTGTCAGGCTCATTGTTCCGGGGACGCCGTGCTCGCTACGGGCGACTGCGGGGGGGCAAGGGGGATATTTTCACGGTGAGACTCCTTTTCGACATGAAAAGGAGGGTTTACCCTCTTTTATAAGAGGAACCCCCCTCCTCTCATCCCGAAAAGAAACGACGTCCCTCGGAAGCCGCCGGCGCACCGA